ATATATATATATATATATATATATTGTTTCCTTTGACTTGAGATGCATTTGTGTCTCTTAAATTTCTTTTATTTTTTTATTTTCCCCCACAAGTCTTTATTTCCATGTGTTTTTACATTTTTCTGTCTCCTGTTTTTAACTTTACCTTTTGCACTTCTGTGCACAGCACACATACATGCATGTTCCATTCAAAGCGAAATTAACAGATTTTCCAATGATATAAGATTTATTGCCAAGCATTGTTGTTACAACAAAGAAACAATGTACTAAACACTAATTTCCTTACTTTATATGCTAATATATGGGCACAGTTAGCTAGCTTGTTGCCCAGGTTTGACTCCAGTTTTCTCTCGAAGACCAAAAACATTAATTTAACTGGCATCCATCCGTTTATACCAATTATTATAAATGAAATTACACAAAAAATGTAACCCAAATTTGCCTTTGTTTTATCAAAGGTAAAAAAAAATCCCAGAACAATTACTTAAAATAGGACTCAATAATAATCAATATGAGAAAAACATGGTGCAGATGTTATCACTTGTTTTTGAAAACCTTTGCCCAATTATATTAGGGCATTTGAAAGCTTCCCAACAACACTGTAGATTGATTTAAAAGGTGTTTTCCCCATGTTTAGGGTCAAAGTGATAGTTACTGAATTTAAAAAAACAGAACCACCTACAGGTCTGAGTGAGAGGTGTGAGGTCTATAGAGATGTCATGCTGTTTGCTGGTCAGTTTGCAGGTGTGACTCTCCAGGTAGTCTCTGTGACAAGCATATTCAGTCACCCACTCCACCTCGTAGCGACAGTTTGACTCGGCTATCATCTTAGGAACGCTGCCCTAAAAAATACGACATAAAAAATAAAATGGGAAGAATTAGAGGTAACTATTTCCAGGATATAAAACTGGTTCATTCGACAGTTTAGCTGTGAAACCAACCAAATGTCTGCTGGATGGACAGATGAAGGTGATGTTGACGGTCGGTTTGTGTTCGCCACACATTTCCGGTGACGAGTCTGAACTTAATTCATACTGTAGCCTCAACCTGAAGAGGAAACAAGTAAAAATCAAACTATTTTTGTTTTTTTTTTTATTAGAAAGAACTTCAAGATAAAAGTCTGCTAAACAAATTAAGACATAAAACTATCCAAGCATCATCTAAACCAGTGGTTCTCAAACTTTTTACCTTCTGATCCACAAAATATTCATGGCAAAAACTTGTGACCCCAAATATTACTGGTCTGAGTACACAAACTTTGTTAATAACCCTAAAAACACAGGCTTTTTGACAATCTAAACAGCTTGTACACAAATATAAAAACTTTTTTATACTTATTTTGTGTTTTTGGAATAGTTATAGGGAAAATATTACATCAGCAATTATTTTGTTACCCTTTAAATTGATTTCTGGAGATTATCCAAGGTGCTTCATGACCCATAATTGGGTCCCAAGCCCATCTTTGGGAACTAAAGTGCAGTGGTTCCCAAAC